GCCTTCGCCTGGACACTAGCGGCGCAGGATTCGAATCAAACTTTGAGAGCACCATCATTGGCCCGTACCGAACGCAGATTCTCAAAGTCTCGGGAACACCAAAAGGACCGGGTGCCTTGAAGGTAACAGGCGCAATCATCCGTGTCCGCGGCTGTCGCGAGAGACGATTCCCCATATTCAAACAACCATGGACGCCGCAAGCAGACGTCAAGGTCAAGGCTACCGGACTTCAAGCATTGGAAACCACTCTTGCCTCAGGAGCCCTTGTTGGCCAACCGCTGAAGGTAGAGAGTGTTGCATTGAATGTCATCCCTAAACAGCCCATCGTTATTGTCAAGTCGACGACGCTACCTCAGGCTTCCGTCATGGTGCTCGAGGGAGAGAGACAGGTGTTCTCCGTCACGTTACAGAATCTCTCTCGAACAACACCCGTGGACTTTATGCTTTTCTCTTTCCAGGATTCTACGCAAGGACCGTTGCAGGCAGGCATTAACAACAGAGATGCTACTCCAGCCGAGTTGTACGAATACGAGTACATCCTCATGAGGCGCCAAGGTCTTCGGAGGTTGAACAAAAAGGAACCGGAGAAGCGATACATTGCTCCAGGAGGCACCGCCACATTTGATTTCGAGATTCTCGGCAAGCCTGGATTGACGAACGCTGCCATTCAGATCGACTATGCTCATCTCGGAGTGCCTCCTGAGGAAGTGACGGACAAATTCCACACCCGACAAGTCTCGCTGCAGTTGACGGTCACTGTGAATGCTAGCGTCGAGCTCACGCGACTTGATATCCTGCCTCTCAGCGGACCCGTACCCAAGCCGCTTCTTAGTCTTACAAATCTGGAGTCCAAAGTTGATCCTTCGACATTGGCAGATGAATACTGTCTTTTGTCTATGGATCTGCGCAACGCTTGGCCGAATAATATGGAGGTCGAAATGGACGGGGAGGACGGCATTGTGATTGAGGAGCATGTTCTCCCAGGGAACACCAGTCGCGTCATCGTTCCCCTACGGCGCATTTACCTTGAGGACCCTCACGCATCGATCCCGGCCCTCAACCCATCAAGACAGCGGCAATTTGTTGTCAGCACCAGCAAGATTACGCCCGACATGGAGCGCTCAAATCGCGAAGCATTCTGGATGAGGGAAAAAATACTGGAAACGCTCACAGCCAGATGGAAGACAGCATCTGGCCCAAAGCGAAGCGGTTACATAGACCTGAGAACCATTAGGCTTTCACCCAGGATGATGGACGCTCTCAGGATTGATGATGTCGGCATCGAAATATCAGTACAGGACCCGGGCCAAACTGTAGGCGAAAAGGTCAAAGAGACGATACTCGTCGACAACTTTGTCCAGGTCAAGATTGGTATCACAAATCGGTCAACCAAGCCAATCTATCCGATGTTGAGACTGATGCCGGCCTTGTGCCACCGTCCGTTGAACGTGGCGTTGGACTTTACGCGAAAATTTGCCTGGAACGGTACCTTACAGCAGGCACTTCCGCTGTTGGCGGCTAAGGCGACTACAGAGGTGGAGATTCAAGCCATGGCACTCTGTCGAGGAGAGTTCGAAATAGGGGCATCCGTTGAGGAGTACCAGATTTGGGAAGAGCCAAAGGAAAAGAAGGAGAAGGAAGAGACACAAGAGAGCCGACAGCGATCGGACACTCAGACGATACTCAACGCGATCATTGGTGCAAAGGAAAGGCGCATATGGCACTCAAGGCAACCCTGTATCATCAAGGTAGTGGATCAGGACTAGCGACTCGAGCCATTCACATGACGAACTATATGATGATGGACATGTAGAAGAAGTGATTCAGACCATGGTGGAGTGGACGATCGCAGCGGCCTCCAATAAGTAGACAATTGACTTCTTGATAGACGACTCAAGCCGCTACGAATTCTTGACTAGCTGCGAAGGGTTCAAGCAAGGTCCAATCCGATCAGCCCGGCGATCGAATTAAGCTCATCCCTGCGTCCCGAACAAAGGGCTCAAGGGCGATTCATGCGTGGGTCTGACCGCCTTCTCGTTTCCGCTGTTGCCACCAAATTTTCCTTAGGGAGCGGCTTTCCGGTGCTAGCCGACAGCGGGCCTTTTTTTACCAACCCAGAGAGATCGTTTCCGCCGTACAAGCTTTGGTCAAGCCATTCCCGTTTTGCGAGCGTTGCATTCGAGGTTGTCGTTGCCGTCGTCTAAAAGGAAAACCCGGGATCTCACTAATAACCAAGGATGACGCGACCTCAGATTCTTTTTCTTGATGCGTACGACTCCTTTACGAACAATATCGTATCCCTTCTCACAACACTGCTTGACGCCGATGTTCACGTTTTACCGATTGACACGCCCTTGCTAGACCAAAAGTCGCCGACGTTCTCGGTTGACTTTCATCGGGAGTTATCACGGTACCATGCAGTAGTCTGCGGACCTGGGCCTGGCTCCCCCGAGAATGAGACGGATGTTGGGCTCATGAGATGTATTTGGAGATTGCAAGATGAGCACATGCTGCCAGTTCTTGGCATTTGCCTTGGGTTCCAGAGCCTCGTCCTCAGCTCGGGCGGTAAAGTGAGGAGGCTTCAACGCGGGTTGCACGGGATGGTTCGCACTATTCAGCATGAGAAACCTGAAGCGACGTGCGCCGAGGACATCTTTAATGGTGTCTCCGAGTTCAAGGCAACCCTCTATCACAGCCTGTGTGCCGACATCGGACAAGATTCCATTTCAAATTCCATTTGGGCAGAGTCCCGTTGGCGTACCCAGAAGACGGCTCCTGAGCTGTTGCCTCTGGCGTGGGTGGATGAGGAAAGGGATATCGGCCGCGAGAGAATCCTCATGGCGGTCAAGCACCAGAGCAAACCCTTTTGGGGCCTCCAGTACCACCCAGAGTCCGTCTGCACCCAGCCGGCAGGTCATGCGGTCATCAGCAACTGGCTTCGCGAAGCCATGGCGTGGAACTTGAAGGCGAACAGGACTGTTCTGACCGGAGAGCGATTCCTGGCAAGGAATGCAGTGAAGCCGAGTCTCCTCTGTGAGAACCGTGCCGCGGCTCAGCGAGGGAACGCCCCAATCCTCGAGTGGACGGAGATGCCCACGCCCCTGGCGACTGTCGGACTCGACTGCGAGTACCGATACAAGACAATTAGCCTTCCGGCGAACGTCAAGGTGCCGGATATCGTGGAGATACTAAAGAGCGGCAGGACGGAGCACATCATCTTGGATTCGTCCAACTCGAGCAACATGGCAACGGGAGCTGCGGACGTTCGGGGCAGATTCAGCGTCGTTGCTCTGGATGTGGAGGAGTCTCTGCGGATCGAGCATCACGTCGGAGACGATTTCGCCACGGCCCGTATCCCTTCGATCCAGGGACTGCCTGTCGACCTCGTGGAGACCGTCCCATTTGGACCGCAGAAGAACATTTGGCATCTCCTCTCCGGGTTCCTTGAGAAGCGACGCATCCCGGCCTTGGGGGAGCTCCAGACGCCGTTCCGAGGAGGCTTCATGGGCTATCTCACGTACGAGATGGGACTCAAGGGGATCGACGTGGCATTGGCTGCTAACAGAGGGCATCAGAGGCCCGACCTGTGCTTCGCTTGGGTCACGAAGAGTATTGTGGTTGATCACGTCAAAGGCTTGTTGCACGTCCAGCACCTTCAGAAGCGAAAACTCAATGCCGACTTTTGGATCGACTCCGTGGTGGCATCGTTGCAGACGTCCCACTTCTGGCAATCACCGGGCAAGGCCACCGTCAACGGTTCGGATGCTTCGACCGTATCCACGAGACCCGTTATCCGGGTCCCCGCCGCGGATGAGTACGAAGCCAAGGTCTCTCGCTGTCAAGACTTCATCGCGGCCGGCGAGTCGTACGAGCTGTGCTTGACGGATCAGACGACAATCACGTTGCCTGGACGGCCAACAAGGGACCATCAAAACGGCCTCACCAACAGACACCCGTCGTCGCCAGAACAACGACAAAAGAAGTCCTCACACGTCGCGCCCTGGAGGCTCTACAAGACGCTCAGAGCTCGCCAGCCCGCGCCCTTTGGCTCCTTCATCCGCCTCGGCGGCGCGACTCTGATCAGTAGCTCCCCGGAGCGCTTCCTCGAGTACGATGCCGACGGCTTCTGCTCGATGCGGCCGATGAAGGGCACCGTCCGCAAGTCGAACCAGGTCGCAACGCTCGCGCAGGCCGAGGCGATCCTGCACGTACCCAAGGAGGAGGCGGAGAACCTCATGATTGTGGACCTCGTCCGGCACGATCTGCACGGCGTCTGCGGCTCCGGCAACGTCACGGTGCCGCACCTGATGAAGGTGGAGGAATACGCGACCGTGTTCCAGATGATTACGATTGTCAACGGGCAGTTGCCGAAGCCCAAGACGATGACGACGACGGGTGCCGATCGTCAGCATACGGGGCTCGATGTCCTTGCGGCTAGTCTCCCGCCGGGCAGCATGACGGGAGCCCCGAAGAAGCGGAGCTGCGAGCTGTTGCAGGAGATTGAGGAGCGCAGGGAGAGGAGTCTGTACTCTGGCGTGGTGGGGTACATGGATGTCACTGGAAAGGGGGACTGGAGCGTCACGATCCGAACTATGTTCAAGTGGGATGATGAAGCTGCGCCGCCGGAGGAAGGCGAGACGGAGCCGAGAGAGGTCTGGCATATCGGAGCCGGCGGTGCCGTGACCATCCTGAGCACTGCTGAGGGTGAGAGGGAGGAGATGTTCACCAAATTGGCGGGGCCTTTGGGCGTCTTTGCGGAATCATGAGCGGGTTCGGGATCCAGGGATTGATTGGGAGGAGGGGACCTGGCTATGCCTTGGGATTGGCTTACTGGCGTTTACTAATTCATGAAGGGGGATATTCATGGTAAGTGGGGTTTTTGGTTGATACCTCAACGTATCTGGGATATTAGACTCTGGACCTTCACGGGTATTAGACTCAACGTTTAGACGACCCGGATCATCCACACGAAACAAGTAGAAAAAACAAGATCATTATTAAATAATCCATGTTTGCAATATCAGCTTTCCGCAATTGGTCAATGGGAATTAGATGGTTTTGTCGTTGCATAACAAACGAGAAAGAAAGAGGAAACGCCCGCCTGACGGAATGATGCTGGATATACATGTGAAGCCTCCAAGTAAAGCGCACCCCGTTCCAAATCCCACTTTGCCGGATTCCCGAACCCGAGCGCCACAATGGTTTCCGACCTCGTCTCGTCGTACTGTACACGTCTGCCGCCAATTTGGTTCAAATACGTATGCCCTCCATCACTGCTTCTGGTGCTTCTGGTGCTTCTTCTTCTTCTGGTGCTGCTGCTTCTGCTGACACTACTTCCCCTTCGCCTACTCACAGCTGTATCAATTGTCCCCAGTCGTTGCGCCCGACGCTAGTCAGAAGTCCTGCTCCTCCTGAAAGAACATGCCGAAGCTGATGATGGTTCCGTAAATGAGGAGACCGCCGATTATCGACATGACCATGGCCTCAACCTGGATGAGATCGGAGTGGGCGAGAACGACGGGCAGGGCTGCGATAGAAGAGCATGGTTAGCAACACGGCCCTCCCAATGAATCAAGACAAGAAGAAGCTCACCAATTCCCATAACCACCATAAAACCGGTGCAGAAGCGGCCGAGGTCCAGCACGGCGGAGCCGGAACCCTCGCCAAAGTCATCAGGGTTGGTGCATCGCGAGCAGACCCAGTTGGGGATCGGGGCCAGCACGTAGGTAGCGACGACGAGAAGCGGGTAGTAGACCTTCCAGAGGGCGCAGGAGAGAATGACGAGGAGGAATCCGACGGCGAGGACGAAGGAAAGTGCAATGATGGTCTTGAGGCCGGCGGTCGGCATCTTGAAGATCGTTGGTAGGTGGGCTGTGGTTTACTTGTTTCGGACGGGTATCGAAGTCGGAGCTGGGTATAGACGGCCCCGCCGGGGGTGCAAATGTATTCCTTTGGTATTTCCTTGTGAGTTCCGTTGAGAGCTTCGGGCGGCGATCGTGTCTTGCAATTAGGCCGTCTTGTGAATAGTCGTGTGGGAGCTTCGTGGTGGTGGAGGATGAATCGGTCGTGTCGGTCGTGGAGTAGTTCGCGGCTAGGCTGGCAGGCTGAGCTGCGATGCGATGGCGGGTCCTGGGCCTGACGCACGAAGGCCGTCGTCAGCGCACGGCGCAACCTTGTTCCAGCAGCCGGACAGCCTCCAATGACAAACTGCGAATGGTGGGAGTACGTCTCCACTCGGAAAGACCCCGGCTGTGAGTGAGGTCAGGTACGGGGTCACGAAAGTGTACGTACCCCAGCGAGGGATGCACGGAGCACCTTGCACCCTGGCACCTGGCTCCAGGCTGAGAGAGTGCTACGAAAGCTCGACCTGCCTTGAGCTGGGCCTGGCGTGTGGGAGGGACGCTTTATTATCCACCAAGCTCTCTCTCGCTCTCCCATCACCGACCTGCTTGCCCAACAACCACCCCGCGATCGAATCTCTCCCTCCCGTCTCCCTCAACCACCCACGATCCGCTACACGAATACTTCAAGTTCCTCCCGTCTCCAGGAACCACCCAACCACCTGACGAAGCTACGAATCACCCCTCACGCCCGCCATGTTCAGAAACAATTACGACAACGACTCGGTGACATTGTAAGCTGTTTGGCCCGCTTCTTCAGCCTTCCCTTTCAGTCTTCCCGGTTCTGTCTTGAAGGAGGCCAGTACAGAGATGGAAAGCTAACTCGTATCGTCTCACAGCTCGCCGCAAGGCCGGATATTCCAGATCGAGTATGCAGCCGAAGCAGTCAAGCAGGGTTCCGTGGTAGTGGGCATTGCCAGCAAAACACACGCCGTTCTAGTAGCAATCAAGGTACGACGTTTGCCAATACCTGGGATCACTCCCTCTTGCCTCTCCCTACATCATCCGTCGTCAATCCATATCGCGTACCTTTGTCACAGAGCGCACGAAGCTAACATGCCACTGTTTCCCCGATAGCGCAACGCCGAAGAGCTGTCCTCGTACCAAAAGAAGATCTTCACCGTCGATGAGCACTCCGGCATCGCCATCGCAGGCCTCACCTCGGACGCCCGCGTCCTCTCCAACTTTATGAAGCAGCAGTGCCTCGGTCACCGCATGACGTACGGCCGCTCAATGCCCCTCCGCACCCTCGTCGACATGATTGGCGAAAAGGCCCAGATTAACACCCAGGTCTACGGCAAGCGGCCCTACGGTGTCGGCCTCCTCGTTGCCGGGGTCGACGAGCGCGGTCCCCACCTCTTTGAATTCCAGCCCAGCGGTATGACGGAGGAAATGGTCGCCTTCGCCATCGGCGCCCGCAGCCAGATGGCCCGCACCTACCTCGAGCGCAATATCGACGCCTTTGAGACGTGCTCCCGCGAGGAGCTCGTGCAACACGGCCTCAAGGCCCTCAAGGAAAGTCTGGTTCAGGACCGCGAGCTGACGGTCGAGAACACCAGTGTCGGTGTCGTCGGCTACACCGAGAAGGATGGCGTCAAGACGGTCCAGCCATTCAAGCTGTACGACGGCCAGGACGTCAAGGAGTGGCTCGACAGCGTCGCCGCTAGCGAGAGCCAGGGCGGCGGCGAAGAGGGCGGTGAGGGTATGGAGGTTGACGGTTAAGCGCTGCGGGAATGACAAATCGAGGAAAGATGCGCGGATGGGCTTCTACACTGCGTTGCGTTGGGCTAGGCCGGGTCGTCACCAAACAACCTCCTATCCGGGGTTTGGCTGACTGGACCCGGCTATGGGAAGGAGACTCACCGTACTTGAACGCGAGGAGCCGGCCCGTTTAGACTTGTACCAATATACTGCAAAAAGGAGATTCGACGGCCCAAGAATGAGCTGCATCAGATGATTCAAGAAACAAGAAGACATGCAATCTACCTCCTCACTGGTGGTGATCCGGAGCCTGAGACAGGTACCTGAAGATGCGGGTTTGATTTATTGGGTTGTGTAACTCATGAAGGTCTATCAAACTACAATACGTGCAACCAACACCGATGTGACATGATAGATAGCCGACCGATCCCCCATTCATACCCCTTTCTTCGAATGTCTTATCCCGTGTGCCACCAACGATCGAAATCGAGGGAAAATGACTCACTTTCCTCTCGCTTCGCCTCTTTTTTTCCAACCCGACCACCTACCGAGCCTGAACGTGTAGGAATTGGGAAACACGAAAGGGCGCCAAGACTCCGGTACGCATCCGCTTTTACATTGCACACCCCCGATCGTCACATCTATCCTTCTTCGTCCCTGATTTCCTGTCGCCTGGAAAGCATTGCCGACAAACTACGGATTGCCCTATGACCTAGGAGTTGGTCCAGTCAAGCTTAAAGGTGGCCGCAGAGACCTGGTAATCCCTGAGCGCCGTGATGGCGCCCTCGGGGGTGGTAGCGGTGACAAGAATATCGGCGTTAGCGGCCTTGATGAAGCCCTCTTCAACGCTCTTGTTCACCCACTCGAGAATGCCGTCGTAGAAGCCGTTTATATTGAGGAGACAGATGCCCTTGTCATGGATGCCCAGCTGGTTCCAGGTGGCCGTCTCGAGGACCTCTTCGATGGTGCCGTAGCCGCCGGGCAGGGCGACAAAGCCGCTGCCGGGACCGCCGGCGAAGACCTCCTTGGCCATCATCTGCTTGCGAGTGTGCATGTCCTTGACGACGGTGGTGCGGCCGTAGACGGTCTCATCGGGGACATACATGTTGTCCTTGTTGATGGTGCCGTAGGTGCCGTCACGCTCATACTTGACGAGGGCCTCCGGGATGATGCCATGGACTGAGTCCGGGCCAGCGAGGGAAACGAGGGTCTTTGCCACCTCGCCCATCAGGCCGACGGTTCCACCACCATAGACTGAGATGTTTGTTAGTACAGGTACGATGGACTAGAGACACATTGCTCGAGATTTTGTCTCCTATGTTTCATCTCGTCTGGCAAGAGTTGCGCCACATGTTGTCATTGATGTAGTGACTGAGACTTTATCGTTGCCCATATCCGTGGTTGAAGTTGGGCAGTCGAGGGACTTGAGTAAGATAAGAAGCGAGAGAATAGTGACTCACCAAGATCAATGTTGTTCTCAGCCATGATCTTTGCCAATTCACGAGCGGCTTCCATGTGTTGAGGCTTGAAACCGGGAGAGGCGCCGCAGTAGACACAGATCTTGGTCCTCTTTTGCACGCCATTTGTGGTACCGTTGGTGCCGTTGGTGTTACCATTCGTGGTTCCGTTGGTGCTGGTGCCGTTGCCACTGGGCGTGCCATCCCGGGATGCCGGGAATGATGGCAAGGGAGAAGGGCCGCCGGACTGCATGATGTTCGTTGCTTGCTTGATTTGTGATGAAAACAAGGTTTTGCGGTAGGAGGAACTTCCAAATAAAATGACTCTTGGGCTTCAAGGGAGGATTTTTTTGTTGAAGAAGAGAGAAAATGCTAGAGTAGGTAGTTTGCGAGTGAGATGGTACTCAGTCTTTACACTAAGAGGCGCAGTTGTTGGAGGTGAAGATGACGGAGGATTTGTGGAGAAAGATAGTATGAGGTTCCGTTCCGGCCAAGAGACAAGAGTCACAACGGAAAGAAAGTACCCGGAAGACGCCGCGTTTTTCTGCGGTATTTCCTTAAGATTCAGAGTTTAGGAAAAGAGTCCAAGTCCACAAAAAAGACCAGAGAAGAAGAACCCAAGAGAGAAACTGAAGGCTAAGGGAATTGACAGATGGCGGTGAAAAGGAGCGCTGTTATATACGTTCCTCTCGAGACCCAAAAAGGGATGCTAGTTTGTCTTGTTGGTTGGGATGGGCTCAGGACAAGTGGGCAAGTGTGTTGTTGGCGAGTTGGTGTATCAATTATCCTAGCAACCACCTGAAGGGCAATAAGAAAGAAAAGAAAAGAAAGATTGGACGAGGCGAGAGGAAGCACAGATGGGAATGAGACAACGAGATGTCAGTTACCGCCACGGCGCATGGCGAAGGGCCGAAGTTCTGGGTTTAGCGTACTAGCTGGGACAATCAATGGCTTCAAAGGGTTCGCTCGGGGATCCGTGGCTCCAGTGCCGGTACAGTAGTGTAGGCTTTAGTCGATGCGTAGTATTCCAGCTGGGGAGGAAAAGCAAAGCAGACTCCAGACTCAGAGAGCCCCCTTCCCCCTCGCTGGTTGCTAAACCAGAGACAGGGAACGGGGTCGGGTGACGGTGGTTGACATGGACGTGGACTTGGGACGGTGACGGGGGAACCAGAAGACGGATCCGGGATCTGGGGCTAGCAGTAACACATTGCACCCTAAGATGGAGAGGTACCTTTGTAGAAAGTCTGATACACTTTTCATCGACTTTGTTGAACTCGACTGGTTCAACCGTTCCCGAGACCTTATGGGTTCGGGGGCACCCTAGTTTGCCTGCGTGTTTGGTTTGTCAACTTGTTACGCTGCGACTGGTCCGCACAAGTGAAGTGTCCAGGTGATATGTCGGAGGCGAGGTCCGAGTCCAAAGTAGTGCGTAATTCAACCTCGATGACTCTAAAGCTGACCTTAGCTAGGGCCGTCCCGCGGGGATATCCTTCCGGAGCTGGAGACAGGAAACCAGGAAGGCTCAAGTCATCGATCGGGACTCAAGAGCCTCAATGATCGAGCATTCTAGGCACCATACTCCATAGACTGTCAACTTTCAACTACCCAAATAGATGACCCGTGGAAGTAGCTGCGGTAGCGTCAATCGTGACGAAGAACCGAAAATGGGAGAGACAAGAGAGTGTAAGGTAGAGACGAATGTCTCTCAATTTGAGGGGGTGCCGTGTATGCTCGGTGTGACGAAAGATGGATATCCGCGTGTGGAACGTGCCGCTGACGAATGGACGGAATGGGCCACGGGAGACCGTGTTCGATGTCGATTGGACTAGTTCTTGATTGTACGTGTACGTTTGTTGTCGAGATGATGGACAACACGATGTACAAGAGATCTTTCTGGTTCGCAATGGAACCTAAATAATCGTCCGTTGCTTCCTAATCAAGCAAGGATGGAACACCCAAGGTACCTTACAGAGGTTCAATGCCTCTTTGGCAGGTGCATCCACCATCGACACTGCATTTCCAGCAGCCATCTGTTCCCCTTCAGCGTCCTGGGCCCCTGTTCCCCCCAAGCCTTCCGCGCCATTCTGCTGGGATCGTGGCGGCGCCTCGGCCGTTGATTCGCCCGAACAGCACGCAATTTGTCCCGCCCGCCACCCAGCCTCCAGGGTCCAGTTTGCGATCCAGTGCCTTCCAAATTCCGGGGCCATGTCAATCCAATCTCCGTGAAGACTTTCCGACTTCACTCCTCCAGCACCCGCTATCGCTGGCATCCTCGGTATCTGCGCCGGAGAAAGACACGGTTTTGCTTGCCACTCTACTTGAAGAGTTGCTATCTTTTGCAACTATCAGTAGCCGAGCTGCCATACGCCATCGGTAGCCGAGTCCGCCGTGCAACGTCCCCGCATCGCTTCCCACGAGCACGCGATCTGTCCTCCGCAGCTTTGCGATTTTCGACACCATCTCTCTAAAGACATTGTAGCGCATTGTGCAAGATGTCTCAACCCGCAGCAGCAGTCGGCGCTCGCCCTGCTGGCCAGCAGCAGGAGCAAGGCGTGAGTATCCCACTCATCGCCCACCGCGGACCGCGCCAAGAGGCCTTGAACTAATGTACCATAATCGCAGGGCATAAGCTTGACGCAAAAGCTGCTACTTGGAGCTTCTATGTACTTCGGCATGAACTTGCTCATGAACAACATGTTCTCCAAGACGCAATCCGGCACCCAGGTCAAAGATGCCGACGGCAATGTTGTCAGTGTACCCGCGAATACCGAAGACATTCCGCCCTACCTGCTCCGCCCCAAGGAATTGGACGAGGGTGCGACCTGGAGCCAGATCCCGCGCAAGTTGGCACCGATATGGCCAATGGATAGCTACATCGACGTGACCGTCACCCTTTCCGACACCTTTGTTCCGATCCCTCTGGCCCAAACTCCCCCGGAGAAGGTTGTTCTCAAGGAGGAGAAATTCAAGATTGGCAACTACAGCGAAAAACGTTCCATTGATACCACTATCGAGGTGCCGCCCTCTGTGCAGAACAATGGCACTCTTTGGGGCCACTTCTACGTTTCGCTGCCCGGTAGCCAGCCCGATCCTCACGCCGAGACCTACGACCCAGCCTCTGCTTACTACTTTGCGTTCCCTCTCACTCAGTACATCCCCAAGAAGAAGGAGTTCAAGACCAGATCCCTTCTCGAGGGCAAGGCCGAGGAGGAGGTGGAAGAAGTGGCTGAGGAGCAGGAGACCGGCCCCATCATTGCCAGTTACTACCACCCGAATGCCAGCTTCTCCATCATCCCCAACACTGGAGTGCTCGATTACCGCCAAACCCATCCCGCGATTCGCCAGTTCCTCCATGTCGAGCCGACTGGTGCCAGAGATGGCTCCGGTCAGCATTCTTGGTACTGTAAGTTGCCCTTTGCGCTATTCTTGGCGGACCAATCTAATTGCCGTAGATCCTATCCTGTTTGTCAACACCTTTTGGCAACTCAAGAGTCAAATGATCCTGCTCAACGACACCGTCACGTCTGTTCCTCTGCACATTGACTTGAACAACATGCGTTCATGGCAATTCAACACTCTGGCCGCAATTGAGGCCAGTGCCAAGGAGTCGGCACGTCAGGCTGCTTACGGTGGATCGCTGCCTGGTGGCGGCGACGGCTCTGAGATTGAAATGGTCAAGGAGATCTTTGGCGACACGAACCCGATTCTCCTCGGCATTACCATTATTGTCAGTATTGCGCATATGATCCTGGAGACACTTGCTTTCGGTTCCGATATTGCGCATTACCGCAAGAAGAAGGATAACGTCGGTATCTCGGTCCGTTCCATCCTGGCGAACGTGTTCATGCAGTCCGTGATCCTGCTTTACCTCATCGACAACTCGCAAAACACCAGCTGGATGATCCTGGGTGGTCAGGGTATCGGTATCGTTATTGAGCTGTGGAAAATTACCACCATTGTCAACGTTGCAATCAAGGCTGCGCCAGCAGGCTCGTTGCTACCATTTAAGATCGTTGTCGAGGACAAGCACAAGCTTAGCGAGACGGAGGAGAAGACCAAAGAGTACGACGAGATTGCCTTCAAGTACATGTACATGGCCGGTGTGCCTCTGCTCATCGGTTACGCCATCTACTCGCTGGTCTACGAGACGCACAAGTCTTGGTACTCGTACATCATCGCCACGCTCGTCGGATCGGTGTATGCTTACGGCTTCCTCATGATGGTTCCTTCGCTTTACATTAACTACCGACTCAAGAGCGTTGCACATATGCCCGGCAAAGCCATGATCTACAAGTTCCTCAACACTTTCATCGACGACCTTTTTGCATTCACCATCAAGATGCCGTTCCTCCACCGTCTGTCCACTTTCCGCGACGACATCATCTTCTTCATCTACCTCTACCAACGCTGGGCTTACCGGATCGACTACTCTCGTGTCAACGAGTTCGGCCAGGGCGGTGAGGATGAAGAAGAGGACGATGCCGCCAAGACCAAGGCCAAGGAGCTGCTTGAGAGCGACCCTACTGTGGAGAAGGTGAAGCAAGTCGCGGGTAAGGCCACGGGTGCTGACACCGGCAAGGCCAAGAAGAGAAAGTAAATAGTAGATGTTACACGGCTGAGGGAGAGAGTGCAGCCAATATCGTGTACATCAGATAGCTGGGCACAAGCAATACATGGGAGACTTGGCAGCTAGGTGCCCTGGGTACTGCCTAATGACTAGCATGGATGAGATATATCCGCCTCACATAGCTAGCTGAGACAACCAATGTGATCAGGTCCAGTCTTCATCGTAATTCACATATCTCGCGCATGGTGCATCTCATATGCAGAAGCACATCAAACTACCACATGCACGCTTGGACAGAGGACGAGACGACTAAGAAAGTGTTGAGGAAAAGCAACAAGAAAATGTTCAGCTGAAAGGGGGGCTCCGCATGTCTGTGTACAGGGAGACCGGACAATCCAAGTCGAGTGAAAACCTGGGCAGAAGATCCAACAGAGATCCGTATCCTATACGTATATTACATTGGTGCGATATCCCACCGGACAGATCGGTGATTTGCCTTTTGTAAGGTCCACGGCCAACGGGTAGTAGAATTGCTCCCCCTTCGCGGCCCGGAAACTCTTCTGAGGGTCGCTTCGCGGCTAAAGATGCCGTAGAGAGACGCGACAGCTTGGTAAGGTAGAGAGTCCCCCCCGAACCAAACAGGGGCCCCGGCAGAAGAGTCGCTTGGCGGGGGGTTCACAGCTGTCGGAGCCCCGTGCCTGGTAGGGCAGAGACAAGCTCGTATGTCACCGCGCCTATCAGAGAGTCCCATTGGGGAACCTGGAAGGGCCCCGAAGAGAGATGACGCCAGGTCCCCCTCCAACGGTGGTGTTTTGGGGCTAGGATGGTGCCAACTCCACGTTTTGCTATGCTCTTGTTCTTGTTCTTCGTCTAAGGTGCCTTACCTTATATGCTAGGCTATTCATAAGGTAGCATGCTGGTGTTTGTAGACGGTAATTAAGCACGTTACCTTAAGGTAAGGTCAGCAAGTAATAAGGTAGGGTACCTAGGCATCCATAGCTCACCCCCTACCAGTAGCCCAAGTTATGGACCATGTGGCATGGAGACCTTTTAGTGTCGGTCTTTCGTCAAAAGGTGGAGAATTGCGGGATCTGTATACCGAAAATAGTTCAGAGTGATTGCCGTCGTTCCTGAGCTGCAGAGCAAATAGCTCTTGGCCTCTCCTGAACTCGGTTGATCGGATCGTGTCCACGCAATGCAGTGTTTGGATGGAATGAATTCAAGGTGAAGCAAGAGTGTGTATTTCGTAAGATAAACGTGAGGTGGTTCTCGAGGTTTCATGGAAGGTGACGGGATTCGGGAAGGAAACAAGAAGGGCCCCCGTCTCCCCTTGGACCCTCTCCAGTTGGGGTCTTCCTAATGTCATCGACAATACGAAGAGTTAAAAGTTGCACAAAGCAGTTATGGCTGACCAGGCCATCCACTCTCAGAGGCACCCTCAAAACCTAAACTTCCCTCGACCGCCCTCCGTCTTTGACAGCCGCATAATACTTGTCTTTTAGAAGTTAGGAGGATTGGATCCAGTCCGTTCCTTCCTTCGCCCAGTCAGCGCAGTCAACCAAACACGCACACACACACACCAGGACCAACCAACCAGGGAAAATAAACGACCGAACGCAATCTTTCTCAAACTCCCCAGTCTCTTTTCTTTCTCTCTGATTTCTGCCTCTTTCTGTCTCGTACCTTTTCTTTTCCCTAAACTTTCTTTCCACATTCCTACCTACCTTAAACCTCCCTCCTTACCACGTTGCCCGTCGACGTTTTTCCCGTTGCCGTCGCGTGGGCTCCTCCTCTATTCAACCTCCGTTTGAGCCTCTCGGTCCCTCCGTTTGTCACATGCCCGGGTTCCCCCGTCCATCACTCCAAGTTCGTCCCATGCGTCCGCTTCGGTCATGACATACGGACGGTGCATAGGGTCCCCCAGCAACAACCACCTCGAGAAATTTACTTTGAAGCCCGCCTAGCACGCTTCAGAGAGCACAAGCACAGGCACACAGGCACACAAGCCACACCCAAAAGGTCGCCGGACTACAGCGAACGCACCCGCCAAGCAGAGCTCCGGACCTTCGGTTCGATCGACGGGGATTCGAGGTCCACGCTGCCTCGTACGCAGTGGACAGTGGAGTTCCACAACGCGTACCTGACGTCTCTCATCATCCCAAATAGGGTCGTCCCCGGCACCCCGTTCGCTCCAAGGGGAGGGAGCCAAGGCCTACTCTACGGGAAACGTAAGCTACAAAACCTGTTCGGACGGTGTGGCCGTGCCGCCCGCGTGCCCGCGCCCGCCGTCCGTCATTCACATCGCTCCAGCTCCCCAGTCCCCTGGTCCCCCAGTCGGGATATTTTACCCCCCAAAGGGCCTCAAGGGGGCGCTCCTACGCCCATTTATCATTGGGGCGCGCGCCGCACCGCACCGCCAAAATCCGACTACCCCTCGATCTCATTGTTGTGCGCCGTCGCCGCCAAGTAACACTCTCCTGATCCCCCCAACGATTCCCTCGAAAAGGACACTTTCGAGGGAACCGGAGGGCTCGCCGAATCATGAGCAGTCCTACCGTCGGGTCCCTTCTGGCTGCCATTGCGACACTCGTCAGCGATGGCCTGCGTATCTTGAAGTTCGCCGATAAGCGCCAATGGGGACCTGACGAGCACGAGCAATTGCGCCTGCTGGAGGATACGCTCGACGACGCCAAGAAGGACTTCCAGGAGCTATCTGTCCTTGTCAATGGACAGCGCTATTATATGAACGACCGCAAACGTGAGTCCACAAGCACACTTACACCATTCTTGATTGCTTTGCGCTGGCTTGGGAGCTTGGTCGAGGGTTTGCAAAGCCCTGCCGTACAGCGGCGGGAGGGAGGCCTCTGCGATTGCTAGCCAGCTCCCCGTCAAATTTCGCTTCGTGCTAGCTCACGTCACGCACAACTAGCTATGAACCCTTGCTAACTATTCCGCCTTCAAGCTCCGTCGATAGCCGAGTTGCGAGCTTTACAGTCAAAGGTTGAGCATCATATCGATAACTTTAAAGATTGGGCAAGGACAGGCGGACCGATCAATCCGGTATGGGCACGAGAAACGACGCAACTGCGCCGCGAACTGCACCGCGCACAATGCCGAGCGGCTAGGAGGATATTTGCGGCAGAGCAAGAGGCCTCAGCAAGATGCCTGGGCGCCTTTCTCGTTTACAGAAAACAGCGGGAATGGCAGAATCGGCCAGCTACTTCGGAGGAGGAGCATCACCGACGACACGTGGAAGAGGTAGTAGCATGCAACACGAGTGGCAAGTTTGAGCGGTTTGGCGACGGAGGTATCGCATTCGTTTGCGACTTTTGCGATGGCCACCTTGTATGGGAGGACTTGGAGAGCATGCCATCATTACGGACAGCCGAAGAATCCAGCACGCGCCCAGTACCGCCTATTTCGCCCACGACCGGAATGCCAAACTGGCAGGCGACCGGATTCACCGCCGATAAACGAAGAGAGGAGAAGACGGTCATATTTGCGCCTCTGGCTATAGCAAATCACATGGCACCGTATCAGGGAGACTGGGTAGCCCGACTCCTATGTCCCTTTTGCGATGAGGCGCCATATACCGAGACAGGCGGTGATAGCGACGACGAAATGCGAAATGCCCAGGATGAATCCGGCTTCGAAGATCTCCAGGCCTTCCAGGAGCACTTGGAGTGGCAACACACAGCTGCATCGATACCTGCCGTCCCCTTGCCCAAGGCAGCCAAGGACTGCGTGGTGATGTGACATCATTAATTCGACAACGATGTTTATTGGTGGCGTAAAATGGCGGTTCGTTCGTGTACATATATTCACAGTGTGTGGTCTTGACAATGGCGAGGCGTTGGGGGCTTCCAAAGAGGGCGGACAATGTCTCATCCGCACCTACGACTTATGGAATTATCATTTACTTTATTCGATGGCAGAAGGCTTCCACCTCCTCAAGTGTTGGGGATGGCCCTCACCACCGGTCTGGACAGACCCATGCAGCAACAGAGATACCACAGTCAGGTAGTGCTGGATCATAATCCACATTAAAGACGCAAAAACCAATTCTTGTTTTGTTGCCCCTCTCCGTCTTCCCCTGCATCCGCCTGAGAAGTCCGTGCCGTAATTTGATTGATGTACATGAATCAAGAAAGATATACACAGTCGCCAACATAACGCCCAACATCGTCAAAGAGCCTTTGCCTTTCTCAGGCCAAAGGATCCAATACCCCCAAAGGAAGGGAAGGAAACCGTTCCTTGTCCTCGTTCGCACCGCCAAAGGAGGCAAACCAAGCCCCATCCCCCACTTTAGAAGAACCGCCACCAAAAGAAGACGATGACAATGAACCCCAGCGCTCCAAGGGGCCCGTACTGCTTGAGCAGCAGCTCCCAGTTGATCCTGACGGCGGCGCGCCTATACTTTTTGCTGTCGTCGCGTAGGCGGGAGCTGAGCTCGCCCATGCGCTCGAGGGAGTCGCCGCGGTACAGAAGGTCCTCAATGTTTTTGGTCATGACTTTGGTGACGTCGCGCAGCTCGTCGTTGAGCTTGTCGAGGTTTTGGGAGGCGCGGGCGTCCGAGTAGGTGGATTTGGTGCGGGAGATGAAGGTGTCGAACTCCATGAAGGCGTAGGGGCGGAGGGAGGGGGAGTGGAGCTGGGACACGGGGTAGGTTGTCGTGAACTCGCGGGCGAGGTCGGAGAGGTAGGTGAAGGCTAGCTTGCGCGGGTAGGATTTGTCTGTTATGCAGATGAAGGTGATGTCCGAGTCCATCAGATAGCTGTTTTTGGGAGCAAAGGTTAGCAAAGATGTTGGGTTCTTCTCGCTCCATCTTCTCCTTTCGACTAGCTGCTCTGGGTGTAAAGGGGGAGGGGGGTGGAAGGGGAGGAGAGTAGACGGACTTTAGGTTGTAGGCGCCGCTTTCGATGCTGGCTTGGGGTTCCGAGTTTCGGGTGAGCTTGCGCAGGACTTGTTTGATCTGCGACTTGACCTCGGAGAGGGCTGCTTCTTGTTGCTCGTCGTCGACGGAAGCGCAGAGCATGAGGCCTACGAGCCGGGTGTTAGTTGATGGTGGCTCTCAGTATGGGGATGAGTGCGCGCGCGCGTGTGCGTACCGTCGAGCCTTGCTATTTGAGTTGAGCGGATCATTATGTATGTGTTTGCTGGCGTGTGGTATTAGGAAAAGTAGTTGTAGTCGCTCGTAGATCAAGAGGGTGTGTATAGCTAAGGAGCTATCGACAGTTGACGTTGTATCGACGTGTCCTCTGAGATAGCTTCGTTGCCTATCCTTGGGAGTCCGGATGCGCGGGTTGACGAGAGGTTGTACTCGAGTGGCTTGGTAGATCTGACTGGGTTGATCAAAGTCACGGGTACTTTTTTTCGAAGTATCGTTGAGGCGTTCGTTGTTGTGTCTTTTTTCCGAGCCAGGAGTGGTCGCTTTTTCGCTAGCAAGTAAATCAAAAACCAAGGATCGCAGTCGATAATATGTCTGGGCTGTAGTAGGGACGGGAGCTCTCAACGTACTAGCACTGAAGATGACACCATGGGCGGTCGTCACCAGCCAATTGGAGGGCTTGCGCGGGGGTGTAGCCCCTGCGGTTTTGGTGGTCGATGTGGCGTCAGTGGCTCGGTCCTTCCAGCCTTGTTTAGGAGATATTAATGCTAAGAATATGTTACTTTTAGGGGAACCCTCTCAACTCACTCAGTGCTCTGCGCTCATGAGTTCTTCTTCAACTCTAACCACATCACTTACACACATTTGAAGGGAGGTGCGGCGGGAGGATAACCTTATTCCGCCATATCATTATTTGACACAAACCATCTGGGCTATTCCGATACCTCGGGGTTTAATGATAAGGTCTCGATTGTTCTGTTTTTAAACTTGCCCAGGGCGCTGTAGTCTCATCTTTGTTATCATTAGAGTGCTGTTTGTAAGTTCTCAACATGTGTTCACTATCATCTCATGTCCGGAGACCACTTTGTGGGAAAGAACAATCAGCAAAGGAGGTCCTTCCCATGCTGTCAAAACTGCGACACGTACCTTCCAGAAACGACAGGATTCTTTCACTAGGGTTTTTATAGCACAGTTCTTTGAATTCCTTTTGGCTAATGCCCAGCTCAGGAATCCTCCCATGGACACCGTAAACGTGAACCAGCAAACATCCTCCACCCACTTGGCCATTCACTCAAAATGGGAGGCGTCGCATCGGATATAGAGATGGCAGACGCCTGCGCTCCATCCTCGTCCTCGTCCTCATCATCTGGCCTCTCCCCTCCGCCCACGTACAGCCCAGACTACGAGGGACTCTCTCAGAAAGCCGAGACAGATTCTTCCAAAGAGACTGTCAAAGAGACTGTCGACTCACTCAACGTGCGGGACGACCCGGAATCTGAAGCTATCAACCCACAACTTCCCGGCACAGATCTGCCCAACATGGCGCGACGTTCGGCGCGCAACTCGAACAAGCCCAAGTCAGCGAGTGCTTCCCCGCCGAAAGTCGCTAAGAGAAAGCAGCCCACCAGAGTGGTGTCCAAGAAGGGGCCAAAATGGACGACGCAGAAGCTCTTGACGGACCCCAAGTCGCCGCTTGCCAGCGCGAATCTGAGAGTAAGTGAACCGTCGCAGCTTAGATGGGACGATGTTATGTCATCTCAGAAACTCTTGTCTCGATTCGAGTACGCTAACCTACCGCGACTCTCTCTAGGCGATACTCTGCCAGCCAGCGGCATGGGACATACTCACCAACGAGGAGCGTGCTGAGATTGTCAACCTCTTTCCAGCCGACACACATATTCTCGACGCCGGCACCGACGAAGCCCGCCCGGACTTTGACGCACTTCGCAACAACAACAACTTCCGCCACGATTGTGCCACATACGCCGACAACATCTCCCAGGGCAGGCACGACCCTGAGTGGCTCGAGCAGGCGTGGGGCGCGCGCGAGCGGCGGCGGGCGGGCGACTTTGACGACTATGTCACGCAGAAGTTCGAGGATGAGTGGTCGTGCAAGCTGCCAGAGGGCTTTAAGCCGAACAGAAGTGGCGACGTACCAGGCCTCGCTGCGCCTGCGGAAGCTGGAAAGGTCCATGTCGAGCAGAGGGAGGAAAACACTAACCAGACAAAGGGAGATATCATCGACAAGGTCCAGGTGGAGGGAGAAGCCATCAAACAGGTGAAGGAGACGAAGGCTGCGGACACGTCGGGTGACGCTAATACGGCAGAGGAGACCGATTCCAGAGAAGCACCGGGTGTCGCACTTGGGTCCCCTCTTCCTGAAGACATCTCATCAGCAAAGATTGGCAAAGCTACTACCGAGATCTCCCCTGAAGAGCAGGTGCCAGAATCCTCGCAGGTGCCGCTTGGGGGCGATTCTCCTGACGATTCATCCCCAAAGGCCCATCACCAAAACTCAAACAAACAGACAGAGACGCAAAAGGGAAAGAAACGGGTAACTACGGAAGGAAACTAACAAAGGCTTATCCGAGGGAAGCATCCTCGTGCTGGCAAGGCTCAAGAGGGTGTGAAGGTGCCAGAGCATCAAGGCTGAGAGCTACCGAGGGAGATACATTCAAATCCATTTGTCCATATGCAGCATCACGAATCATGATTCATGAGAAGGAATGGAATTCGGGCAGGTAGGAGATACCTATTTGTTGGGCGGCACGACATCTTCTGGTTTGTCGCCCGGAGGCGGGCTTTCTTTGGTAGAGCCTAATAGCAATAGGATCTAGCAATATGATCCAAGCCACTACAAATCACTTTTTCGTTAAAAAGCTCATGATCGTAACGGATGACTTGGTGTCGGCTTCGGTGAAAGGTCCTGGTGTTGACGCCCGACGGTGGTAGTCTCGGTCAGTGCCCCACATCACCGAGAAACCCCAAATTGAGTGGGCGAAAAGCGTTCATCGCAGTAATCGCACCTTGACAATCTTTATTCTAAACCATCTGAGCAGGTTTTTTTTTGTGCGAATCCTCCACATTACAGTCTCGCAGGTTAATCTGAGGGGAAACGTCAACAGCGGTACGATTTGCGAATTCAGACACTAGACACTGCTCAGCAAATTCCCTCTTCCAGAATACATCGGGAATATCCCTCCCACGACCTATCGCGATGGCACCCTCGGCGGAAAACCACAGTCGGTCACATAGCCTCTTGCTATTCCAGAAGCTTCTCAATCTTAGGGATGGCGCGAGCCCTTTGACCTTGGTGCTGGACAGCCTCGAGCAAGGCGCCGCACCAGTCCTTCGGGAATTCGTCTCTAGAGCCAAGGTATGCGCTATTGGTTTTCATGACTCTGTAGATAAATATCCTGTCTTAAAGACATTATCACTGTTTCTAAAGTCAGAAATTTGACTTTTTGTATTAATAAACTCTATAGATTGCAAAGGCCAAGGTAATTCTACTCTCTTTCGCGACGCTCAAACGCCCACGCGGCGTGGACGTCGTCGTCAGAGCCCGCGGCAAAAACCTCAAGGCCCTGAGAGCAGAGATATTGTCACATTATCCCAAGATGGACCCTACGGCAGCCAAGGGTGCGCCTCCATCTCAGAGTAAGTGCCGTCAATACCCATCTTGTGGCCACTTCTCTATGGCCTCGTCGTGACACAACAACCCTCTGACTCACACATCTCGTTACCAGAAACGGTAGTCCTGCTCGACTCCCTCAATGAGCTCGCCACAGCGGCGCCGCAGATCCTTCTCAGCTTCCTCTCCAGCATCATCATGCCCGCCGTGTCGCTGGTGGCCGTCTACCACACCGACGTGCCCCTCGTCCTCCCGCGCGCCGTGAGCGAGTACGAGCCGCACCCGCTGACGGTGCTCTCCCACCTGGCGACCTCGATCCTGCGGCTCTCGGGCCTGCGGCAGGAGATTGAGCGCCAAAAGGCGCGGAACAGGAGTCTGCAGGAACCCGAGTGGGGGCTGGGGGAAGGGCGGGAGGGCGTCCTCGTCGGGCTCAAGGGCGACGTCAAGTCGGAGGACTATCAAGGCGTCGTGGTCGAGATGGAGGTCAGGAGGCGCAGCGGGCGGGCCATGGCGGAGAAATTTGTCATTTTGCCGCAGAAGGGACAGCAGGCCTCTTCTTCCGCCGCTTCTACTGCTGCAGCAAAGGGGTCAAGGATTTTTCTCCTTGCGGAGCACCCCGTTTTCGCCGCCCCTGAGGGTTCTGGAGAGGCAGAAGCAGGTAACGGGGAGGATGAGGAGCCGGAGAGCACGTTCAACCTGGGTCTCACAGAGAAGCAGCGAAGGGACAGAGAGGGCATCGTTCTTCCTTACTTTGACGCCCAAACGGACATAGGGGCTGGTGAGGGTGGTAGGATCCTGTATGAGATGGGTAGGGAGGATGACTTTGATGACGAGGAGGACGAGATTTAGGCTAACTCACTGCTGAGGCAAGACACGCTCTAACGATTATGAGACTTCCTCTTCCCAATGGCAACATGAAAGTGACGTATTCCTGAGGCATCTGGAGAGCGGACATGAAGGGCGATTTGTTACGAAGGGACTTAGGCGAGGTGAATGTAAGCTAGGTACCTTAGGCACCTTAGCCAGGTATCATCACAGATTGAGGCCAATGCTAGGCAACTGAGGTTAACCTGAGGTAAGGTAGTGGCTCGCCTTCCTTCCCCACTGAGGCCAAAATATCAAACGGAAGGAAGCAGCGTCCCGCGGCTGCCTCCCATCACCAGGCATCAACCACCCGACAGTTGAACTCACCAATCAAGAAATTCGATCCTGCCCGTTGAATAATTCGGCACTCATCATGGAAGGTATCTCCAGTACGTATCTTTACTGATCGGGGGCCGTTGCACAGGCCATGTCCAAAACCTATATCAACCCCTCCTCCCACCCACGACTTTTCACCTTTTCCTTCTTTTTCTCCTTAGCTTTTCTTTGCCATTTTGGCTTAGATCAAGTGTAGTATCTGTTCTTTTCAGTTTAATATCTGGAAGTCTCCCAATAGGGGACAATCAATATTATTCCTATTTTTGATCTTTCCGGGAAGCGGTCCCTTTGGCTTGCCATATCACCGCTTCCCACCGTGTCCCTGGTATCACACTGCCTCCAGGCGACGCAAAAGGTTTTTCATTGCTTGCTCTGACTTGTTCAGGGCAGCGAAGAAGATGCCGCATCCCCTCCTTGCTAATCTGGAAACTTTCTTGAGTTCTTCGAAACATGCGTCACCTCGGTGAGCGGCAGCAGTTGACCTACGTGAAGTTACATCGTGATGTCTCAAGATTGACATGTCGCGGTGTTGCACCTAATGAACCCGCTAGAGCTTTCCAGTAAGCTTAGTGGAGCTTGCCCAGTGTTGTCCGACCACTGGCCTCCTGCAAGGCTCCCGCGCTAAAATTCGGGGGGCGGAAAGCTTAAACTCGGCCCAATTAAGCATCCTTTCAGGTGCCTGCCGAACATCAACTCCGTCCGAAGATTGCCATCCCCCAAAATTTCCACAGCCTCACAGTGACGTTATTTCTCAGGCCTGAAACGGAATTCCACACCACCAAGTATCTTTTTCTACACATCCCGTAGCTCGAATTTTGAACGCACACACATAGAATGGGACGCGGACGCGATAGCAGACAGACCTGGGACGAGCCGGACCGACGCAGTCGCCATGGCGGCGGCGGCGGAGGAGGAGGCGGCACTCGAGACCGAGACCGCGAAAGCTACAGAGACCGCGACGGCGGCGGCAGACGAGACGACCGCGATAGGAGAGACGATGGCGCCAGGCGATATCGCTCCCGATCCCGCGACCGCCGCGACAGAGACCACCGTCCCAGATCCAGAGACCGCGAGAGCGGCGGCCACCGCCCTGGACGCGGCGACGATCGCGATGGAGGCGCGAGGCCGCCGCGCAGAGACCGCGGTGGTTGGCAAGGGCGAGATGATAGGGACAGCACTAGGCGGCGCAGGGACGATGATGAACCGGCGATGGACGAGCGGCCTCCGAGGCGGCAGTTTGGAGACGATGATGAGGGACGCAGTAAGTTTTTGGTCCTGGTCTCCCGTTTGGCTTTTCGCGGAGCAGCGGCACAACAGGGAGAGAATGACTGACTGACTTGTGAAAAAGGCACACCGCGCGACAATAGAGACCGCAGAAGATCCGCCTCCCCACGCCGAAGTGGCAGCCCGCCGCAGCCTGGTGCCTCCCGCCGCGAGCACGGCGGCGGCGGCGGGTACACAGAGTCCCTACCCACTCGCACGGTTCAGAGAGGGAAGAAGGAGCAGCAGCATACCATGTCCTTCAAGGTCGGACGGCACGACTCGCCGCACATTGACAGCGGGAGGGACAGTGAGCGCGGTGGAGATACACCGATGAGTGGTGGTGGTGGTGGTGGTGGCGGTGGTCGCCGCCGGGACGATCGAAGCGAGGACGATGACGAACCTGAGCCCGAGGTGGAGGATGACGATATGGCGGCCATGCAGGCGATGCTCGGCTTTGGCGGGTTCGGGTCGACAAAGGGCCAGAAGATTGCCGGAAATAATGTCGGGACTGTGAGGAAGGAGAAGAAGACGGAGTACCGCCAGTACATGAATCGGCAGGGTGGATTCAACCGGCCTCTCAGTCCTGGGAGATGATCAACTCCCCGAGAGCGTATTAGAAATTGGTTATTGGGGTTAGTGGTCATTTGGAGTGGATGGATCGGCTCGATGGAACAGCATGCCACGCACGACTCCGCCATGATCGGACAGCATTAGGTACGCTTTACGCTTGTATTGGTTTTTTCCAGATACCTATAGATGACCAAAAATGAAATATATTCACAACAGCAGAGTCCTTGTAGATATGCTTGGCTCATATCAAGTTGGTTTGGCTCAGCCTGACGCGGTTGACGCGGGCGCAGGTGGCGTAGACTCCCTCGTCTTTCCCTCCTTGGCCTCCGCCTTGAGCTCGCTATCGAATATGTCAACAGCGAGGCTCGCGTCCACAAAGTCTTCGAGCTCCTCCGTCACCGTCTTGAGCTTCTCCTTGACCGCGGTCGCGCCTTCGAAGCCGACAATGTGTCTCGCCGGCGGGTTCTCGTGCCCGCCAATGGCCGTCAGGGCGTGCACCGTCTCCAAGACGAGGCGATCGGTGGCGCTGGACGGCAGCTTCGGGTACCGCACCTGGGCCTCGTCGGTCTCGTTGAGGTCGGGCACGGCGGTGTCCGGGTTCATGTTGAGGACGTTGCCAAGCATGTCGCGGACGCTGGGCGCCGGGTTGACCTCGGCGTCGTACCACGGCAGCTGGGGCGCGAAGATGATCTTGTTGGTGAGAGATTGGATCTCCTTGTTGGGCTGCACAATGGTGACTTTGATGTTGAAGGGTGCAATCTCATAGGCTAGGGAGTCGCAGAAGCCTTCGAGGGCCCAGATGGCGGACGTGTAGATGGGCATCCCCGGCGTGCCGATGTGGCCTCCCGTGCTGGAGAGGATGATGATGTGTCCCGTGTGCTGTGAACGTAGGAGTGGCAGGGCGGCCTTGATGAAATTGACCTGAGAGAAGAAGATTGTCTCAAACTGGTCGCGGACTAGGTTCTGTGTTAAAGGATTTGTGGATAGCTCCTCCACGCTCCCCACGACGGCTATTGAAGGGGTCGTCAGTACTGTACCATTCACATCAAAAGAGGGCTTGCCATGAGATACCTTCGGATTTGCAGCAGAGGAGGATGTCGATTCTCCCGAACACCTGAACGGCCTCCGCCACGGCGGCACCGCACTGGCCCATGACACGCCCATCGCAGCGGATACCCCGTATCCTGTCCTTCCACCCTTCGCGGTCCTTACGGTTACTCTTACACTCATAGATCAACTCTCTGAACTCGGCGCTGCGGCCGTCGTCCTCAATCTCGCTCGGCGGAAGACAGGCGACGACATAGTCACCGTGGCCCAGGAGCAGTCTGATGAGCCTGATGATGAGCGGCGAGAGGGCTGTCGTCAAGAACCAGGTCCTCGGCGAGTTGTGCGTAGCTGAGGAGGGGGCGTATTAGCCAAGAGGTGCGCTGCCAAGGAAAGCCGTGCTTGCTAGTGAAGTGAGGTGAGAAACTCACGGAAAGACGCCGCGGGAATGGAATGGGAATGCTTCGCGGCGTCCGCCCCCTTGCGGTCCGCCATGCCCGGCGGCACTTCTGACAAATCCTCGTCCCTTGAACACGCGAATCAGCACACGAAGACACAAGCGGTACTACTACACAATGGACAGAAAGACGAATGGAGAAGCTGCAGGTGTATGTACGTGATGTACGGGATATCGAAAGCGGTGAATACGTGGGGGAAGTTTTATGTAGGTCAATCTTGAGAGAGTGGGAGACCTGCATCAAAGACGAGAAGGGGGAGGGATATTAATACATTATCTTATTAACAGCTTCCCGACGAAGAGGCTGATACGGCGATCTCAATCACAAGGGGGCACGTTCGGGAACGGCTAGACGTGCCATTAAGGTCGCATTCCCTGGGTGTAGTCTGCAGAGGGCGTCGATCGAGAGGAAGGGGGGCGTGGCAATCGTGGTAGTTGATCAATTTGGTGATGGGGTTGAGAGAAACACGGCACGGCAGTGGCAGTGGATGACAGCCGTTCCAGCCCAATCTCTATCTCACACCCCTGTCGACCTCCGTGACGAGGGTAGGAAAGGCCCCCAAGGCCCCCCAAGCCTCACCTTACCTTACCTGGTACCCCCGCCCACCTCGCGCATGAGGTGCAGCTACCACTGTCCACCGATCCAGCGCTTTGTCACTACCTTGGACCTAAGGATGGTACCTACCTAATCGAATGCAGCGGCCGAAGCGAGCAGTACATACCTACATACCTAGAAGCCCGGGCCCCACCACGGGCCACGGGTGACGGGCCAGCACGATGCAATTCCAGCGGCATCCCCACGCTAGAATCCGGGGAACGACCCCTCCATCCATTCACGTCATTTTTTCGCTGTCGTTGTTTCCGACACCGGTGTCTCTTCCGCATTTTGGCGGGGTTACTTGTCTGGAATAGCAACTTTTTTTTTCTGGCACCACCGCAGCTCCGTCTTCCGTGACTCATTAGAACAAGTCTCAGCCCTACATAAATCTAATTGATCTACCGCTCTATTCTCCGCCTAGAGCCTTTTCTGTGTCTGTTATTTGATCAAATCTTGCTCAAACCCGATTCACCCAATCCAATTGAAACCGCCCCAAGAAACCGTTCCGCCCATCATGCCCTCCCGCGCCGACATCACCTACTTCGGCGCCGGCCCCGCGCTGTTGCCCACCGACGTTCTCGAGACGGCCTCGCAAGCCCTGCTCGACTTCAACGGCACCGGTCTGGGCATTGCAGAGCACTCCCACCGCAGCGAGATCGCCACCAAGATCATCGAGGAGGCTAAGGCCGACCTGGCCACCTACCTCGACATCCCCTCCGACTACGAGGTCCTCTTCATGCAGGCTGGCGGCAGCGGCGAGTTCTCCGCCACCGTCTACAACTTTGTCGGCGCCTGGATCGCCCGCCAGCGCGACGCCGTGCTGGCCAAGCTCGGTGCTACCGACGAGAATGACGAAAAGGTCGTCGCCGAGCTCCGCAAGATTGTTGATGAGAAGCTTAAGCTCGACTACCTCGTCACCGGAGGCTGGAGTCAAAAGGCCAGCGCCGAGGCTGCGAGGCTGCTCGGTCCGGAGTTCGTGAACGTTGCCGCCGACGCCCGCAAGATCAACGATGGCAAGTTTGGCAAGATCCCCGACGAGAAGGACTGGAAGCTCAGCAAGGACGCCGCCATGGTCTACTACTGCGACAACGAGACGGTCGACGGCGTCGAGTTCAACGGCTTCCCTGGTGCGCTGGCGCCCAAGGAGAACGGCGAGGGCCCCATCGTCGTGGCGGACATGTCGTCCAACATCCTCTCAAGGCGCATCCCCGTCAAGAACTTCAGCGCCATCTTCTTTGGTGCGCAGAAGAACCTCGGTTCGACTGGTATCACTGTCGTCGTCATTAAGAAGAGCCTTCTTGCCGCACAGCCCTCTCCTGCGCTTATGCGCAAGCTTGGTCTCCCTATCGCCCCCATTGTTCTCTCATACGAGACCATTGCAAAGAACAACAGCTTGTACAACACATTGAGCATCTTTGAGTGAGTCATTCCTCTATGGCTATCCACATTTTCTCTCCACTCAACTAATCACTACTCTACAGTGTCTACATCGCCGGCCAGGTCCTCAAGAAGCTTCTCCGCACTTTCCAAAACAAGGTCGACGGCCAGGAGGCCATCGCTGATGAGAAGGCCTCTCTCATCTACTCCGCCCTCGAGGCCCATCCCGACATCTACCGCATCGTCCCCGACAAGACCGTCCGCTCGCGCATGAACATCTGCTTCCGCGTCACCAAGGGCGGTGATACTGACGCCGCGGAGAAGGCCTTCCTCAAGGAATCCACTGCCCAAGGTCTCACCGGCCTCAAGGGCCATCGCAGCGTCGGCGGTATCCGTGCCAGCAACTACAACTCTATTCCTCTCGAAGGTGCCCAGAAGCTGGCCAAGTTCATCGAGTCCTTCGCCAAGGCTTAATTAAGCATTTGTTCAAATGAGGGTTTATTCAATACCGTCAATATAATGGTACCATGTAGGAATATACATGAACCAAAAAAAGGGAGGGAACGGTATTGGGCAATGAAAATAAAGCATACTGGGAATATTTAGGGAGCCATGATTTAATTCAACATTTCTGCCAGGACATTGTGGCTTCACGTTGCACACACTTCTTCCTTGGTGAGCTGATTATGAGAGGAAAGGAGGTAAGCGTTACCTTGATGGGCAGGTGGGTGGATGGATGACCGAGTTCCACTTTCGCCATAAGGTAGATTGATGGCACATTCAATTACATTTTCTAAAAGAAGTAGGTGGTAATTTCACCGCATGGCAGCGCCTTACCTGCAGTATCGAGGCCACCCGGGTGAAGTTATCATGGATGTACCGGCTTTCACATGAGATCAAGAGCTGAGTAACCTCAGAAAGCTTCAAGGTCAGGCAGCTACATCGGGAATCAAGATTACCTGATTCAGTTTAATGACCTTCCAATATCTTCAGCAAGACACATCCCTTACTTTCGCTCAAGCTCAAGCAAAACCTCTAAAGTGACTCTTTACTCTTGCAAGTAGGTAGTAAGGTAGTTGAGAGAGAGAGAGAGAGAGAGAGAGAGAAATGATCGTATATCAGCCCGGTACACAATTAGTGGTCCGTGCACACTGTCGGCAATATGTCCATCGTGCGGCTCATTGCCAACTCTTCCTTCGCAATCTTCCCTTGTGGCTTCGAACAAGCGCTGGACACGGTCACCGGCATGACTCCGGTACCTTCATCCCGCAGGATTCGTCGCCGTAGAGTCGCAGACGAGGATCGGAAGCGGGCACCTCGGGCCTGTGCCCGTTGCAAGGCCCGCAAAAGCAAATGCATTGAGACGACGTCGGGTATATGCCAACGATGTCTTCAGGGGTCACACACTTGTAGCTTCATCACACAGCGGTCGAGTAAATCCTCAGAAGTACTGCAATCGCCTACAAGAAACTATGACGAATCATCCGCGGACCTGGGTCCCAGCCCGAGCCCCGGCCCCCTTGCTGATGCCCTAGACAACATACAGTCATCACGCCGGGATCTCTGCTCCGATAGTGACGCCCCCGAGAACTTCATGTGGCCGCGATTTCTATCTAGACTCAGGAACGCATTCTATCTCGAGCCAAACTCGTCACCCGCCGAGAGAGAGATCGCTAGGCTTGAAGCTCGCTCGTCACGAACAACTGCTTCTCACCAGTCTGCGGAAGCAATCCGCTTGCAGGCGGCCACCGAAAGCCTCCCACCCAGATCTGTAGCCATCTTCTTGAGCAAGCTCTGCATCCAGCATGGGACCGATTGCTTCTTCTACTTTGATCAACCTTCTTTCCTGGCCGAGGTGGAAGAGTTCTACAACGACTTGAGCTCGCCTCTCCGACGTGACCCCAGCTTTCTCTGCCTTTTGCTGTCAGTTCTTGCTCTTGGAGCCCACTGGAGTCCGCGAGCCCGCCCATCCACTCTGTCTGGGTCTCTTCCAATTCCTGCGGAAGACCCTGGACAGGTATTTTGCAGTCATGCCCGGGTCTTAATGGCAGATACCATGGACAGAGTGAGTATGTACTCTGTCAAAGCGGCTTTCGTCCTTGGGATATACCTCATGCCATCGAGTGCGGTAGGAGCCTCGTACTTGTATATGGGTCTTGCCTTGAGGAAAGCTATCGCTCTTGGGCTGCATCATGAATCAGAAGAGCCAGACATCGACGGCCATGAGAGGGAAACGAGACGAAGGTTATGGTGGGCTGTATTTTCTCTTGAAAGGTTAGTTGCCTTGCCAACACTCAGTTCCATCACGGTGAACCAGGATTGACATCTCCTTGGTAGAACTCTGACAATCAAGCTCAACCGACCGAGATCGATATCTCAGGATGTTATAACAGCTCATCTGCCTCAGCGCCGAGCAACTGATGCCTTGCAAAGCTTCGATAACTTAGACCAACAAGTAGCCAACGCGCGATTCGTCAAGATCATCGACACTCTCATTGAGCCGGCGTGAGTTTTGTCTCGATGCATGCTATTGATTCTTCCCACTGACTCGAAATGGTCCAGTACGTGGTCAAGCAACTCTCAACCTCCTCTGCAAGACTTTGAGGTTTCGTTAAAAACTTGGAAACGCTCTCTGCCTCCCAACTTACGTCTACCAAACGTAGAACCCCGCTCGCCATACTATCGCGCCGTATTCCACCTCTACCTGAACTACTACTTTGCTTGGATTGCCATAGGTAAAACTTCTGTCGTTACAAAGATTCGAAGTCATTTACGGTCAGCTGCATCAGGCATACCGGAGCCTCAAACAACGGAAGATGATGATATGACGCGGCAATTTAGATCATGTGGCATCGCGGCAAAGAAGATGTTGAACATACTCGAAGACGCTAGTCAATCTGGAAATATGGCCCCAAGCTCGTTTACGGACTTTCAAGGTTGCAGTATCGCCACAATCATTGTGATCCTTACCGGTATTCTGGAGCGAGACTTTGCTTACGAAGCTCGAGTCGCTTTTGGTCTGCGCTGTCTCAGAAGGATGGCTGACTTGCACATGGCTGGTCGAATGGCAGTACGATTTGTAGAGGCACTCATGTCAATCGCTGAGGAGGCGAGAGCCAAGGTCAGATCGTTCGGTTCGACACAATTCGATGCGAATGTCAACCAAGAGGCTTCTGAGTACCTTCTCTGGACAGACTGGCTGAACAGGAACACGGAAACATCTGGAACTGGAAGAAATCGATCCAATGCAACCAGACAATCGTCGCGTGCTCATTCAGAAGCTGCACAGGCTGCTGCTGGCGCATCGCCAATGTGGGAGGAAGCTGCTGCATTGCTCCAGCTTCGGAACCCATCTACACCCAACCAAACACTCGTGGTTGAAGATTTTGCACTGCCAACGTCTGCGCCTGAGCTACCAAAAGAGGCACCGTTCGATCTAGGCCTGGATGCTGACTTCCCCCCAGCCACTTTTGCCGAGAATCACATGCAACTGATGGGTCTCACTGGTATGGACATGTTGGATTTTACATTTGACATCTAAGTGAGGTACAACGACAACTCCAAAAGCAGTTGGGAGAAGGATCTAGCCAGAATCTACTGGCCAATGCTACAGACCCAAGAAAACCCGAAATCAAGCCTCGTTCGAAGGATACAATACAGTGTCTGCGCCAACAAGATCCTCCTTCATACTCCTCATACTGGTAAAGCGGGTCAAAAGATTGACGCTGGTGGCCTTGTCATTGGTACCGCTCTCACGACCGCCTCCAAAAGGCTGGTGCCCGACAACGGCGCCGCTGCTCTTGCTGTTGACGTAGAAGTTGCCAGCCGCGTGACGCAGCCCCTTTTCCGCGGCCTCGATGGCGCTCCGATCGCGGGCGAAGACGGCGCCCGTTAGCCCGTACTGCGTCGTGGAGTCGATGATGGGGAGCATCTCCTCGTACTTTGCGTCGGGGTAGACATGGACGGCGAGGATGGGGCCAAAGAGCTCGTTCTTCATGAGCTTGTGCTGGGCGTCCTCGGTCTGGAAGATGGTGGGCGAGACGAACCAACCCTGGCTGTTGTCTGTGTGACCACCGGCTAGCAACTCGGTTGCAGGGTCCTTTTTGGCGTTCTCGATTATGTCGCGGAGTTTTGTCCACGAACGCTCGTGGATGACGGGACCGATGAAGTTGTCGACCTGCTCCGGAGAGCCGACCTTCAGGCCCTTTGTTTCCTGCAAGAGCATCTCCTTGAATTCTGGCCAGATGGACTCGGCGACGTAGAGACGCGACGTCGCAGAGCACTTTTGCCCCTGATACTCAAAGGCACCACGAACAGTATTCACCACCGCATTCCGTACATCGGCGCTGCCATGCACCAGGTGGAAGTTCTTGCCGCCCGTCTCGCCGATCAAGCGCGGATAGCTCTCGTACCTGCCCGAGGCGACGCCCTCCCCGATCTTACCGTACAGCTGGCGAAAAACGTCCGTGGATCCGGTGAAGTGGAGCGCTGCGAACTGGGGGTGGTCGAGGACGGCCGAGGTGACTGCCTCGGGCTCGCCGGGGAGGAATTGGATCACGCCGGCGGGCAGGCCGGCCTCTTCAAAGACCTTTTGGAGGAGGTAGCTCGAGTAGATTGCGTAGTCGGAGGGCTTCCAGAGGACGACGTTGCCCATGATGGCGGGGGCGACGGTCAGGTTGGCACCGATGGCGGTGAAGTTGAAGGGGCTGATGGCGTAGACGAAGCCCTCTAGCGGCCGGTATTCTGTTCGACTGATAGGTGCTGTTAGTTCGTGTACGACTTGCTTTGAACAACAAGAAGGAGAAACTTACTTCATGATTCCGGCATCGGTCAATGCGTGCTGCTGGTCATACAACTGAGCTGCGTAATGAACATTGAATCTGCAATATCCCACCAACATTTAGCGAAAGCTTTTCTTAAATGCATGCATGGTATCGAATCTGCTTCTCGTGAACATACCGTAAGAAGTCACAACTCTCCGCTGCCGAATCGATCTCCGCCTGCCAAATATTCTTCCCTTGCCCAAGCATCGTCGCAGCCATGATATCGTAGCGATACTTTCCCGCAATGAGCTCCGCCGCCCTAAGAAAGACAGCAGCCCTATCCTTGAAAGACGTGTTCTCCCACGCGGGCTTGGCTTCTAACGCCGTGCCGATGGCTATCGACACCTGCTCAGGGGTTGTCTGGGCGTATTCGGCCAAGGCGACGGAGTGGTCGCTTGGTAGGTATTGCTTGGCTAGCACTGACTTTGCGTTTGTCTTTGGGAGGTGAGAGAGAGAGCATGTAAGCCTGGGAACCCGGAAGCTGCGAGTTATGAGCGAAGAGATGCCACTTACGATCCCAGGTGCCAAGGACGGGACTCGCACGGGAAGCTTGCTCTTCAGTCGTGAGATCGCATCTTGGAGCTTTTGACGCTCGACTGAGCCCTTGCTATATGATGGCTTAGGGTCGTTTTGTTAGCTGATATTTCAACCTATGCTGAGTTATGCTTTACTGCGGAACACTTACATTGGGCTCGTTGCGGACTGGAGGTGCCTTGAAAGTGCCGAACCCCCTGATGCTTCTTTCGAGTGGCCGAGAGTTGACTCCGAAGCGGGAGGATGGTGCTGTGAGCCGGCCTGCCTTTTGGAAAGGGGTCGTAAGACCTCGTACTAAAGAGACGGACATTTTGATGTACCTGTAACTTTGAAACTGGTTGTAGGCAAAATCTAACTTTCGAATGAGAGCAATATGAAAATCGACTATGAAGATTACATTTATACGTCTTGGGAGCCGCAATGCAGAGCTCCGGCATCGCGATGCCGTTGCCGACGCTTATGGCACATTGCCGTGAGGTCGGCAGTTTGATCAAGCGATAGTGTCGGGAGCCGGTCCGTTGGCCAGAACGGCGACCCCACCGCTTCTTCTTATCTGAATGCATGCTACCAGCGGGGGAATCTCATGTCAAAAAGTCTCCAACTGATAATGATTTACAGTTTGCTCCCGCCGTGCGTGTCTGGTTTGTTTGACTTACCAAAACCACTGAATTTCTGTTGTCCGGCCCTTTTAACTGATTCAACACCCGGATCTCCAGTCGCTACAATGGGGACTGCTGCCTTGGATTCAGTCAAGGACATAACATCGGGAGCCGCCGGAGGTGTAGCGCAGGTTTTGATAGGTATGTAACTAACTCATCGTCATGAGTCTTGCATCTTAGGGTTATAGACTTAATTAACACTTTTTTACGCAGGCCAACCTTTCGGTAAAGTGAACCCTCTACATTCCTGCCCGTCGCTCAAGCCTTTCTTTTGAATGCCATGAGGTTGTGGCACAAGTTCAATCACTTACCAAAGACTCTCAGATCTCGTAAAAGTGCGCCTTCAAACCCAAGGCGGAGGAGGACATGCCCTGGGCCTAGTCCGCAGCATCTGGAGTAAAGAAGGGCCTTTGGCTTTTTACAAGGTCAGCTCTGTCATCTTTTAGTTTAGAGAATTGGGAGTTGATATTGGGCATATAGGGCACTCTTGCTCCGTTGCTAGGTGTCGGTGCTTGTGTAAGTTATATAGCCACATTCAAGAAACACAGTCAGTCTGAACATATCGAATTTTGAATAGGTCAGCATACAATTCGGCGCGTTCCAATTCTTCCGCCGTCGACTCGAAGAGTATCGCGGAATTTGTCCAGCCGACGCAAGATCAAATACGAAATCACTCTCCTTGACTGATTTCTACCTCATAGGAGGAGCCGCCGGCCTGACCAACAGCATCATCTCCGGACCGATCGAACACGTTCGAATCAGGCTTCAGACACAACCCAGCGGCGCGGCACGCCTGTACTCTGGCCCTTGGGACTGCGTGCGCAAGATCACGCAGCACTCTGGCATCAAAGGCCTGTACCGCGGGCAAGTCGTCACTCTTTTCAGAGAGTTCCACGGGTACGGCATCTGGTTCGCCGCGTATGAGGGATTTCTCAGTATGGCGATGGCGTGGGAAGGCGTCAAGGACAGAAGAGACTTGGCTAGCTGGAAGATTGCCGTCTGTGGAGGTCTTGCGGGCGAGGCGCTATGGCTGGGGAGTCATCCGCTCGACGTGATCAAGAGTAAGATGCAGAGCGACGGGTTTGGGGGAGATCAAAAGTACTTGACCATGAGAGATGCTTTCAGTCAGACTTGGAGAGAGGGTCGCTTTCGGGGACTGTTTCGAGGACTTGTTCCAGCGCTGTTGAGGGCGATGCCCGTTTCCGCTGGGACTTTTGCAACGTAAGTGCTCCTTCCCGGTTCATTATCTTGTTGGTATTATCATGTACGCCTTAGCATTGACTAACACTCACTTGCAGGGCCGAGCTTGTTAGGGGGGCTCTCAGTTGAGATTCCCCAACATAGAGACGACCCATATGATAGAATTAAGGTAGATTCAAGTTTATAGATCTTGGTCCTGATAAGTCCCATGTGCTGTATATCCTGAATGGCTCGGTGTTGTCCACTGCCTCCAAACTCTTATATAAGTCTACTGTTCTTTGAGATCTATACTGCATTCTCATTTCGCATTCTGAATGGAACGTTCAACTAGGAATTGATCTTCACCGTTGCGTATCAGCCCCAGAAATTAGTCATCGCTTCTGATTGTTCTCAGTAGAGGTATTATCCCATAGCGAGTTGCGCTTGCCGAAAGCTGCACTAGGGAGAGCGATTGGAGTTTGTCGCGTTGCCGGTGGCACAGTGCCCGAAATCGGCTACGGTGTATCTCTCCTCAGACCTCGTTTGACGGTATCATGAGGGGTTGCCGCATCTAGATGCGGGATAACGCAGGCATTCAAATAGGCTCACTCGGCAATTTTTAACAAACAGTTTCGAGTGAGCCAAAATTTGCCAGTTGCAGTTTGAACAGCGAACAATGTCTCTTTCGAACCCTCACAGTCAGCGGCTCGCAGCTCTTCTGAGCCGGCGATCTCCAGCTGTTCATCATGCCAACAATGCGTCTCTTACACGTCTCCAGTCGCGATACGCATCCACCGCTGCAAAGAACCTAGAAACATTGCTGCCACACTCCAAGCTATCCCTCAAGATTCTGCTACGGTCCTTGTTGGTGGCGACCATTTCTTCCAACCGGATCTTGCTGGGCCCCTCTCTGGCTATCTTGAAATTCCTAAACGGCTCGCACCGAAGTTGGGTCTTTGACGTGCAGAGGAACACAATATTGCACGCTATACTAAAGAAGACCATGTACAACCACTTCTGCGCCGGCGAGAACCGACACGAGGTGACGTCGACGATTGCGGAGATCAAGCGGATGGGGTTTCGGGGAGCCATCCTCACCTATGCTCGCGAGATTGTGGTCGACAACACGACGGAAGAGGAGAGCGGCCGGGGATTGAAGGAGATGGATTCCGCTTCAGAAATCGGATCAGACGCTGGGATCGACGCCTGGCGTGAAGGTGTCTTGGAAACGGCGGATATGCTCAGTGAAGGAGATATCTTGGCCCTCAAGTTGGCGCCCCCGAACGCGTCAACATCCATTCGCGTAATTTGCTAATTTACTCCCCAGACTGACTGGTGCCGGTGCCGCTGTTTCGGAGGCGCTCACTTCAAGAAAGTCGCTCCCAGCGCAAATGGAGTCAGCTCTCGCAGACGTGTGCTCTCGCGCAGTAGAGCGCGGAGCACGCATCTTCATGGACGCCGAACAGATCTCAGTACAGCCAGGAATCGACGCAGTAGCGACAGACCTCATGCGCCGCTTCAACACAAAGGGAAGAGGCGCCGTCGTCTTCAATACCTACCAAGCCTATTTGAAGAGCACACCGGATACACTGGCCCAGCACGTGGCGCTAGCTGACAAGGACGATTTTGTGCTTGGTATCAAACTGGTGCGCGGGGCTTATATCAGCTCGGAGCCAAGGCACATGATCAACGATACCAAGCAAGCAACAGACGACTCGTATGACTCTATCGCACGGGGGCTCTTATCACAAAAATATAGAGACTATGGCGTGCCGGGTGGGAAGTCGTTCCCGAGCATCGAGTTGTTCCTTGCAACGCACAATAAGAACAGCGTCCTAAAGGCCAACGAGCTGCAGCAAACTCGCGCCAAGGAAGGGAAGGCCTTGATCAAGATTCAGTACGGGCAACTTCTGGGCATGGCCGACGAAGTCAGCTTCAGTCTGCTCCAGCTCGCAGATCAGGGGGCCGATGCAGAGGGATCAGGAAATGGGGCCCCTATAGAGGTATACAAGTGCTTGAGCTGGGGCTCTCTTGGTGATTGTACGTCGTATCTCTTGCGGCGGGCGGTTGAGAACCGAGATGCCGTCTCCCGCACAAAGTCGGAATTCACTGCGTTGAAGAAAGAGTTGTGGAGGAGGCTTATGACTTCCAAATGATCATGCTAGAGAAAATAGAGAAACAAAATTGTGTTTCTCTGCCGTGAAATTGACTAGGAAAGCGCCCCCCTTTTCTCGGTGTAAGTGAGAGACTGGTGAATTGGATGATTGCAACATTGTACCTAAGGTAAATAAAGTAGTGGTCGGTGCTTCGACCAGGGACCTTCGCACCCCGGCTCAGAAGCTCTCATTACCCGTACTTTATCCGAAAGAATGACAGAATGGAAGCGAAGCTCCCTCCAAACGAGGGGCTGAAGTGCCTCTATCCACAATCTGGAAGAGGTACTTGACCTGCCACCAAGCCCCACCATCTCAACTCCCAAAGCCACAGCGCAAGCTACAAAACGACATCGTCACACCTCACCCAGCACTGTCAAATCCCACCATACATATCTCAACCTCCGACAGCTCCACCCCGCTTCCGAACGTCGACACCCAGACAACATTCCCGACAACCCACCCAACATGGCAGCCAAAGGAGACAAGATCGAAAAGATCATCACGCGGCTCCAGGCCCGCATCGGCGAAGGCCAGTTCTACGAGGCCCAACAGCAGACCCGCGTCGTCGCCGCCCGCTACATCAAGGCCGCGAACTGGCCCGCCGCCATCGATATCCTCTACAATGTCGCACAATCCCTGCTGAAGGCCGAACAAGGCGGCAGCGGCGGCGACTTGGCCGTCATGCTCGTCGACGTCTTCAAGCAGGCCGAGCTCAAGCCTGACGCCGCCAACAAGGGCAAGCTGCTCACCCTCCTGCGCCTGTTTGCCGCCCAGGAGCCCACGAGAAAGAAGTTTATTGGGGAGATTATTGCGTGAGTGAAAAGCCTTTGTCCGTTGTGTGCGCAGTATACAGGGGAGAGGGAAAGACGATCAGTTGTTTCTGACTACTGGGGCTACAGATGGTCATCAAAGTTCGGCGAGTACCCTGCCGGCGATACCGACCTCCACCACGTCGCCGGGTCCCTCTACGCCGAAGAACACGATGCCTACGAGGCGGAACGACACCTGGTGCTAGGAACAAAGGACTCGGCTGAGGTGCTCGCAAAGATGGAATATGTCTGGTACAAGGAGGACGACTCGCATACAGCGCCCCTCTACGCCGCCCGCGCCATCTTCCCCTACCTCCTCGTCGGTAACGTCCGCGCCGCAAACACCTGCTACCGTCTCTTCGCCTCCTCCCTCAGTGACGACAACAAGGGCCTCGGCGTCCAGGACGTCAGCAGCAACAGCGCCGACCTGCGCATCTTCCCCGGCCTGCCCCTCCTCAACTTCCTCGGCCTGCTCCTGCTGGCGATCCAGCGCGGCGCCCCGGATGCCTACAAGCAGCTCCTGGCAAAGTACTCATCCAACATCTCCGAGGTCAGCGCATGGAGTGAGGCGCTCGAGATCATTGCCGAAATGTACTTTGGCATCTCGCGCCCGAGGCAGAGCAACCCGCTCATGGACATGATGGGCAGCCTGTTTGGCGGTGCCGGTGGTGGTGGTGCTCCTCAACAGAGACGTCCTGCGACAAGACGGGTAGAGGCACCGGCGGCCGAGGGCTTGGATTAGATGAAGATGTTTTCCGTCTATACGGTATAGATGCCCACCGTGCGTGAGAGCACGCCCGTGATGAAGCAGACGTTGAAAACATATGTCGTCGAGGTAACAACCAGGATATCCGGATGGGAAACGCTAGGCATCGTGTTCAGAAGCCACGGGGCAGCTCCGGCTCAGCCTCGAACATCCAATTATCGTCGGCAAGAGCCGAGACTTTGGCTCTTAAACTGGCTTTGACAGCTTCGAGGAGCTCTATTCTCACACGGGAGCTGATTAGAAACCCCCTTTTCCCTCCAAACGAAGAGTTGGACACAGAAGTATCTCGTAAGGGAGGACTCACCTTCAGGCTGTTCACGGACGGCGGTATGGTTGACTTGATGCTGCTTCACCGCCTCTGCGAGCCGCTGTCGCTCTTCTATAAAAGCATATTTAGCATTGTAAATAAAAATCAATACCCCTTCCAATGAAACCAGAAATACACAAGGAAACATGAACATGAACAAGAACAAGAAACATGAGGAAACAAGCAAAAAGGGAAGGGAAAGAAAAACTTACTCTTGCTCTCCTCCCGATCATCCATGGCAGCAGCCTCATCGGCCTCATCAAACACCAACGTCGGCAGGTCCCCGATCTCAATCTCGCCGTGCTCGTCGCGCACCACAATCTCCGCGGGTCCCATGGCGGACGGCGGCCCGCCGTCAGAGAGGACGTCGACTTCGAGGCGGAGCGTCTCGCCACCGCCGACATGACCATTACCGTTACCGTGACCAGCAGCACCAGTCGAAGAACTTCCACCTGGCCCCACTCCTCCCATCGTCGCAGCAGCAGCAGCAGCAGCAGCAGCAGCAGTGGTAGATACTGATCCCGCGCCGGCAGTAGAGGCCATGGGCTGCCCCGTAGTTCCCGTTGTCGTAGTTCCCGTCGCTCGCCTCGTAAGTCCCTGGAACAGATTGCGCCGGACCGCTCGTCGCGGGGCGCCGGGCGGCGGTGGTGCAGCCCTCGAAGTCCTGTCTGCCATCTTTCTCCCTCGCCTGCTCTTTTCTTACTCTGCTTCTTCTGCGTCTCCTTTTAATTCTTTTTTGGAAAAGTGTGCTGTGATAGCGATGAAGAGCCGCCTGATCTCCGTTCTTCCTTCCTTGCTTTGTCTGATATTTCCCCTCGGCTATAAAACGTATAGTTGTCGATGCGTGATAGTAAGCGTTTTATTGGCTTGGTGACAACTCAAGAATCTCAGCGCGTAAAATATGACAAGGATGTTGGATGTCGAATCTTCCTAAAAGGGGACGTTGAATATTGAGTTGGCAGGTTATGGGGCTCGTAGTCTGTATGCGCAGGTCGCCCCTCTGTTTACATTTGGAGAGTGAGGTCGTCCAGGCACCGTACGCAGCGGTTATCGATAACGGACAGTGCGGATGACCAAGAAAGCTGGCAAACACAGTACCCGCTGTAGCACCTACCTCGTCACCTCACCGAGCTCACTACTTTCTCACTTACACGATGAAGACACCACGAACTGGCCCAAACAAATTGAACATCATGTACTTCATTGACTGCATTTTCGCGTAAACTTTTTATGTTACAGAACCATCCTAGCCTGGACATGCATGATTCCCATTATGTATCGTACATTAGAAAAAAACTCCCACAGCCGTGACAAAGACCTCCCACCGATCGATACCCAGGTTCCCAAATACACACAAAAGAAGAAGACAAGAAAGAGCCGGTAGCAAAGAAAACGCCGAGATATGCATACCCCGAACCCACCCAGTCGTAACCGCTCAAGTCCCTTTTTCGACACTGCCATCGCGCGTTCAAATCAAACAAAAGACAAACGACGCAGTAAATCGCAGAATGCTCATCCCACACATACCCACTCGGCAAAGACGCACCAGCGAGCGGTGCGGTCTGCCAACACCAGGCCTCTCCACACCCCCTTCTCGGAACACTTGATGATGGTCTCCCAAGTACCACCATCACTGAGATCCTCTTCAGCTCCTCTGCTGCCGACACTGACTCCCCTGCGCTCCTCTTTCCTCATAAGACGGAGGATTTTGCCGCCTGGAGTCTGAATCGCCAACTTCGCTGGCTTCTTCCCACCGGCAGCTGCTGAACTGAGGTTTGAGCCGCTGGCGCTGGAGGCGGTCATACTCATGGCAGAGCTCGGTCTTATAAAGGGGATTGGGCTTGCGCCTCCAGGGTTTGATGACGGTGTCATCACCGAGCCGACGGCGCCCGCAGAGCTGGGATGCTGCCGAATTGCGAAAACAAAAGTGTTGTTCAGAGCCAAGCGTTGACATTGGGGCTGAACAACGTAAATATCGTGACGCTGCGCGTGAGGTGTCGGGTGCCGCGTCACAAACTCATACGGAGGGTTCTCGCCCGTATGAATGATGGGTAGCGCAAACGCCACCGGATGAGGAATGTCTTTGATGCTATGCATCAGACCACGCTTGCCGGCATAAATCTTCAAGACTCCCTGGCCCTCATCACCAGGCAGCAAAGCCTTGACTGTGTATCTCTTGTTGCCGTTGAACCACTCCGCTTGAGCCAACGCTCTCTTTTTCACGACTTCACCGCTCTCGAACACATCGCCGTCGACATCTCTGGTGTAGCCGCGGACTTCGACTTCAGCAGCAATCTCGACATCGGGTGGAGCGTTGAACTTGACATGTACCATCTCCAGATCCTCGATGCGAGTTGCCGCCGTGTTATAGTCGACCATCTCGAGCGTATTCTTGAAGAACGGAGGGCAGGCGCAAGGCAAGTTGAGAAGAACTTCATGGGCCTGTGGCGGGCACATGTGTTGTTGAGTGTGGTGTTCTGGGATGTGTGTCCAGCAGAGCTCTGTCGGCCGTGTGAGGAACCACCAAAAGTCGGCAGCGCTGTTGCTAGCACTCGAGTAGAGATGCCGTCTGGGATATGAAGGGCTGGCCATGCAGCAGTCAACCATTCGCCAGTCGTTGTCGACCAGAACCGCATTCCACCAGTGATTGGCCCGAGGCATGATGTTATGCTCTGGAATCTCACCGGGCGTCTTGAGGTACCCGCGGATGACCTCACACTGGATGCCAACGGCAGAGCACATTTCGTACACAATGACCGCATACTCTTCGGCGCTCGCTCGCTTGGACTGCAGCACTCTCCGAGTGTCGACTTCGCCTTCAAAGTCCTCTTCCCAGACAAGCTTCTCGGACACCCAAGTGAAGATGGCCCGTAGTCTCTGGACGTCGCTGCGGTATGGACGACATACGTAGGTCGTTGCCAAGCTCTGCGCTGTCGTCGTTGGTGGGAAACTGGCCACGAACCTCGAGTTCTTGTCCACCTGGGTGAGATTGATTGATTGATAGTCGATGGGGTCCTCCACAGGCAGACCGTCGGCACCTTCGTCACCCTCCATGCCTTCATACAATTCATCGACTGGGTTCAACGCAGGGTAATCGAGCATTTGGCAGCGGTCTTTTCGCTCGTTTCTCTCGTTCTTACTCAGAGAGTTGGATCGATTGACGTCTCTGCGGACTTGAACCCAGTCCACTCCGTTTGCAAGCCCCATTTCCCTGGCCGCTTCCCTACCGAAGCCTGTGCTACCCAAGTTGGTCAAGTTGGAGACGCTAGCACCAGCTTGAGCGGCGACATTGGGCATGGAGCGAGCAAAAGGCGACGATCTGGGTGAGTCGGCACCCATCGCAATGCTGCTGCGCCCGGATGCCACCCCAGTCTTGGCTGTGTCGAGGAGCTTCTTGAAGATGTTCCTCTTTGGGGGTTTCGGGGTGACGAGGCCTCCGAGACCAGCATCGTCATGAAAGCCAGCTTGCGACTTTGGCCGAGATGCTTCCGAGGCGTGACTGCTGTGATATGTAACACCGGTGAATGGTGTTTCTGGACGCTCGATATCAGCATCACGCATGCCCAGGGCACTCTGAGCCCGCTTCTGGGTTTTGCGAGCGAAGCTGCCGGCGCTCGTTGCGCTAATAGCGCCGGCTGACGACCCACTCATCAAACTCCTGTCGCTGCTTTGCGTCGTCGAACTCTGATTGCCTGAGGAGGCGCTGGTAGAGTTGGTCTTCGTCGTAAACGTCCTGTTCAGGACGTTGCGGCCAATGTCGTAAGCCGACTTGCGTCCGCGAAGCTTCCTCTCCTCCGGTCCACCCATCGAAGACTTGGGTCTCTCGTATAACTGGCCTTTGGGGGGTGGCTTCGGTGCCTCATCCTCAAGGTCAGCCATACTTGCGCTATGTTGATGCATTTTTTTGAGACGACTTTCCATACGTTCGACGTAGTTACTCAGTTGAGGTAGCTGCTCTTTATCCTCCCGATGCCCGTTGTGATAGGATTGGTCTCGTGACGATCCGCCGCTCCAGGTTTCGTACCCTTCGTCCGGTTGTGCTATGCCCATGGATGTCTGTGGTCTTTGGTAAGTGTTCTTTCTCCTAGCGCGGTCATTCACCATGTCAAACGACTCGGGCGACCACGGATCCAGTGGCGGCTCTGGTGTCGGATCCCGGGGCATTCCCAGTGCGTCCAGCTGCTCAATCACACCATCCATTGCCTCCCGCAAAGGCGACGGAGTCATGTGGCTTGCTGAAGGCGAAGGTGGAGCCGGAGAGTGATGCCGCTGAGTCTGTATCGGCGATGGCCGATGGGCTTGGTATGAAAGATGAGAGCCGTGCCTGTCCAGTGGAGGATGGCGGTTATCATATGAGGCGCTCGAGTCCTGACGCACGACATCGAATCGCTTGTCAAAAGAGTTACCCGACCCATGTCGACTGGAATGAAAGCGGTTGTCAAACGAGCCATGTGAGTCCTGACGAGAGCTGTCGTGCCTGCTGTCGTAGGATATGCTTTGCTTGTGTCGCGAAGCCGCTACATGTCGGTGCGGAGGTGGGGCCGGGGGTGGAGGAGAATCCACCTTTTCTCGAGTGGGAGGACGGTAAGGCTTATAGCTGACTGAGGGAGCCGGCGACGGGCCTCTTGAGTGGAAGTTATGGGATGGCGGTACGGGTGAAGGGCCCCTTTCCGTGTTGTAAGAGTTCTGTCTTGATCCGTGGCCGTGGCCATAGTCGGGGACGGGCGTTCTTTCTCTGGGGGGTACTGGAGTTCTCTCCCTTGGAACGGGTGTTCTTCCTCTTGGCACAGGAGTCCTTCCTCTCGGCATGTACTGCTGTTGTGCGCCATCGTTGAACGAGTTACCCCGCGATACGTAACCGGTTGGAGCTGGCGACGTGTATGCTCGCATTCTAGTCGAGGCAGTTTCATTGAAAGAGTTCTCTCTCGAAAGGAAGGCTTCCGGGGCCGGTGACCGATCTCTTCTGGTCTGCTCCACCATTGCACTGTGAATCGACTCTCCAGAGTGCCCTCTAGGCCTCGGGTTTGGGTTCGTCCGGTAGACCTCGGGCTGTTTCGCAGCGGTGTAGTGCGGTGCTTTGGAATAGGCTTCGAAAGGCTTTCGGAAAGTCCTCGACTTTTGAGGTGTGCTTGGGCTCGGCGTGCTCTCTGCTGGAAGAGGGCTGGCTGACCTCGTCGTTGGTTTAAAGTCGGCCGGGAGGACCTCCACGAAATTGGACGGAAACACTCCCACAGTCCTTCTGTCGCGCCATAGTCTACCCGTCCACCACGAACCATCTCCAGCGTTGAGACATTCGATCAAATCACCCTCGATGAAGCCGAGATCTCGTTTGGACTGCGGGAAGTCAAGTCAGTACTTTGAAAGCCAGTCCTCTTGACGAGGCTCGATCAGCTGCAACAAACCTCTCCGCCCCAAGAGTAGACTGCTCTACACCAGCACGGGAACCGTGTCGGTAGAGATTGTGGTGCAGGCACCATATTAAAGACGTGACGAATGCACCTGCAATCGGCAAGGCTGTTGGTAGGAATGCGACTATTTGTGTGTCGATATCGAGTGCCTCAGTGGTTGTTCGCGGAGCCTGGCACTCGGCTCACGCAGTGACAAGTTGATTCGACGCGATTGTGTAAGCTGCAATGAGATATCGTGATGGCCATGCAAAGACGTGGGCGCGCGCAAAGGCTGGTGGCAAGGAATGATGACAAGATCGAGCTCCCGCAGCGAAGCGAGAGGCAAGCGAGAGAGAGGACTCAGGGCTCGTGGGAATTTC